TGTCTTATGAGCATCGAATTGTACCAATCCATGCTGGAACCTTCTAAGAATAGTCTAAGGATTTCTATCTTTTCTGTATCCTCTTGTATGTCTAGGCGGTCACATTCATTTTCAAAGATGCCTAGCCATTGAGTTCCCTTGGCATTTTTTCCTGTGAATTTTTCGATGACGAATTTTTCTGTCAGTTTTTTTTTAGGTTTTTTCGTCCGTTATTATGATGGTTGTTTTCGTTGCTTGGAGGTGTGGCTTGGGATTTGTGTGTGATTTCTTCTAGAAGGTAATCTTTGAATAGTAAGTTTTCCTCCTCGTCCATGTAGTATTTCTTTAGGTCCTCCTTCATTGATATGAATCTAAATTCGGCAAGCGAATACTTATATACTGTTCGTCTATCTTACCGGCCCGAAATCTGCCTGTCAATGGTCTAGTTTACACCGTGCGACCTGATCGCGACCTGACCTATGCCCTGACCTAAAATAGGCTTCTAAACAAAATGTTTACACCATGTAGACCTATGATACTTTTGGGTCGAATATAGGTAAAAATTTAGTCCTCATAGCCATCTATAAGGTATAGGTCATGGCCTAAATTCACGGTGTAAACTAGGCCAATGTCAACTTGACCTGTCGGAGATGAGATCGAAACTTTTATTTCTCCTGGTCATGTCAGAAATAAGCGCTATTGGTTGCTCAAGTCCCACACCGCCGTAAGACTATCTAGCAGAGTTGTAAACCGAACCGAACCATTGAAGTGTATCCGCTCCGAGAGAACGGATCAGAATTTCAATTATAAAATCGTTCCGATCCGGAGCGAACCATTTTTTATTATGATTTCAAACGCTCCGGTTTCGAACCGGAGCATGAAAAACCGGTTTTGGAGTGGTTTCTTTATCTAAAAATTTGGATCGAAACCGAAACCATAACCGAAAACCGAAACTTTTGAGGAAGACTTAAAATATTATGTTTAGATACTCAATTTTTGCTTCCTCATAGAGGAAGCTTTGTTTTCGTGGAAAAAATTTTTTTCCAGTTTTCTTTGGGAATATGTTTAAAATGTTTTAAAACGTAAAAAAAATATATTTTTTACAAAATGTCTGTATGTGTGTGTGTGTGTATGTGTGTATGTACGCATATTCGAATGTTTGTGGTTGCTCTAACTTTTGCAAATTTTGAGATATCGGGCTAATTTTTTTTTAAACGTTGATAATCCCCAAAGGAAGGTTGGTATTGATTTTTGCGATGATCGGTAAACGGGTTTCTTTTTGAAAAAAATTTGAATTTTTTAAGAAATGACTGTGGTTGCTCTAACTTTTGCAAATTTT